CACTCACGAAGCTCCTGGGGCGACGGAGAGTGCTGCAGGCTCTGGCCACCGCCAGTGCCTCCACGACCACCACCGCCGCCGCGACCTCCTCGACCACCTCCTCCCCTGCCGCCGCCGCGTCCACCGCCGCCCCCACCACCGCCCCCGCCCCTGCCACCGCCCCCGCCGCTGCCGCCACCACCCCCACCGCTGCCACTAGCCCCACCAGTCCCACCACCACCCCCACCGCCGCCACCACCCCCACCACCGCCTCCCCCGCCGTCACCTCCGCCTCCCTTGCCCCCTTTGCCCTTGCCGCTGCGGCGCCCGCTCGAGGCAGACGCAGCCCCTACCTTCTCAGAACCAAGGAGGTCAACAGCAGAAGCAGAGGCTACAGAGGGAAGAAGGGGGGAAGGGGAACACCCCTCAAAGAAAGGGGTGCGGGGGTCGCCACGAGAGGCACCTACAGCGACTATGCTAGCCTCAGCTGCAAGCAGTTCCTTCTCGAGGAGGGCAATGGTGAGCTCAGTGGGGCAGCGAGCTAGGAAGTGATCTCTGACAGCACGCAGAGTGTCAGGGAGGCGGGTGACTAGGTGGTAGAGAGTGAGCCAGAGCGGGGGAGGGTTCTTGGCAAGAAACTCATCGGGCATGGCGGCACGGAAGCGGGCCTCACTAGTACGGAGGTGCGTGATGAGGTCAGCGACTGTGTGGAACGAGGCCAGGTCGGGAAACAGGTAGGGAGTGAGAGACGGCCTAGCGCGGCAGAGGCAGGTGAGGAGTAGCGGGCAACGACAGTGGTGTACAGTGCGTGTGCAGTCTTGTGCTGGCCAAAGTGCTCGCGCTCGTCTATCGGCAAGGAGTTGCTAATAGCGAAGCGAGCGTGGGCGTCACGAGTCTGCCACTGTGAGCGGGCAGTGCTGTCAGCAGTAGCAGCAGGAGCAGTAGCATGGCCTAGGGCGTGATCGTACAGTGAGATGTCCTCCTTGGCAGTGAGCTGTAGGAAGAGGTGTAGGTCATCTAGCCAGGTATCGAACCTCACTGGGCGGCCCTCAGCATCAAAAGCTAGCACAGGAGGGCTAGCCATAGCAGCAGTAGAGTAGCAGTAGTAGCAGTAGGTGCACCCTGAAAACAGTAGGCATGGCGACTCAGGTAGGGCGGCTCGGTCTAGTACGGGCGGCGCGGCTCGGTTCAGGTAGGGCGGCTCGGCTCGGGTAGGGCGGCGCGGCTGGGTTCGGGCGGCGCGGCTCGGTTCGGGCTGGGCGGCTCGGTTCGGGCGGCTCGGTTTGGGCTGGGCGGCTCGGTTTGGGCTGCTCGGTTCGGGCGGCTCGTTCTGGCGGGGCCGTGGGTGTCGCGGCGGGGTGCTAAGGGGCGGCGCGCGAGTCGAGAGGGGGCCGACGGGGCCTCTAAGGGGGGTCGCGCGTGGGGTCGACGGGGCCAGCGGGGCCGCTAAGGGGCGGCTCGTGGGGTCAACGGGGCCGGCTGGGGCCTCTAAGGGGGGCGACGCGCGGGGTCGACGGGGCCAGCGGGGCCGCTAAGGGGCGGCACGTGGGGTCGACGGGGCCGACGGGGCCACTAAGGGGTGGGCGCGCGGGGCAAACGGGGCCGACGGGGCCTCTAATCGGGGCCAGCGGGGCCTCTAAGGGGCGGCGCGCGGGGTGGACGGGGCCTCTAAGGGGCGGCGCGCGGGGTGGACGGGGCCTCTAAGGGGCGGCGCGCGGGTCGCTAAGAGGGGGCGGGTCGCGGGTCGCGGGGCCTTAGGGGGCCGTGAAAACGAGGCGCACGAGGGCGCTAGGGGGGAGGCGCTCGAGGGCGCTCCGACAGTAGGGCGCACGAGGGCGCTAGTAGGCAGCAGTAGTGGTGGGCCCTAGGAATCGGTCCTAGCGGAGGACCTGCTCTGATTCCATGTTATGAAGAAGAAGTGATTGCACTATGAAAGTTGGAGTACAAGTAGGAAACCCTAACTTTGTGTACCCCCTAAAGGCTAACCCACTATAGCCTACACAATAATAACACATATAGTGTTTGACAACTCGATGAGCAGGGGGTTATACTTCACAGTCTTCGCACCAAGCCCGTCGAGTTCTAGACGAAGTACCCTAGCGTACGGGAGAAGTCTGCTGCGTCGGTTGCCGCGCTTCTTCTGGAAAATCAGAAACGAATTCAGAAGGACTTCATCGCGTCTAAGGAGTTGGAGGTTTAGGAGATTTTGGCAGCTTCTAACTCGCATGTGACGACTCTGGCGACACAGCTTGAAGACTACCTGCAGAGCCTTTCAGCCAACCCTCACTTGGCGGTGTCTGACGCTACCAAGGAGAAGTACAGGAAGATCAAGGGTGCGTGCATCGAAAAGGCGCGGTCTGAGATAGTAGTCGCCAAGGATGAGATCATCATCCAGGAGTTGGATCGGCAGAAGAAACGTGAAGCTGAGGAATTGAAGAAAGCTGCCGCAGCTGAGGAATTGGACAGCATGGATACGGATCCGGCGATCAGCGAGATCGTTCAGAAGCACGTGAAGAAGGCCGAAGAAAAGCTACGCAAGGAATTCGCGGCGAAGCTGGACAAAGGCTTATCGACGGCGCTTCAGAAGGTCACGTTGGAGAGCAAGAACTCGGCGCCGGCCCCTGCTGCTGCTTCTACGCCACCGAACAAGAAGGCGAAGAAGAAGCGCGGGAAGAAAAAAAAAAGCTGACGCTCCGACGGACGGCAAGGAGAAGGGCCAGAACACTACCTCCTCGAAGAAGGCCTGGGTTCCAAAAAACGGAGGCGGCGGCCCCGCAAAAGGGCTGCCGAACAAGAAGTAACAGCGCACGACCTCGCGCTCCGCTGGTTCGGCCGCTTGACTGCTCGACAAGTGATGTCACGCGTGCGGAACAACGGGGTGCATAACCTGAGTGCTAAAACTCTTACCACTGATGAGCGGAGAGCACTCGGGATGGGTTTGAAGTTTGTGCCTACACCTACCAGGAATCCGTCAATCGAAGCAGATCTCGATCAACTGCATCGGCTGACTTCTCTTCATTTTTTCTTCAAGGAGAAGGGTGACCCGACGGAACCTGTACGCTTTCGTGTGCGGAATCCCAGTTGGAAACCTGATCGGGACGTGGTCCCGGAGTCGGTCTTCAGAGAGGCCCATTCGGACCTCTCTTTCTTGATGAAAGCGACAACGCCACGGCGCGGTTTCAACCTCCCGCTGGGTGTGCGCAAGGCGTTACGCTCCCTCGCCTCTGATCGCAGCATCGTGATTAAGCCAGCCAACAAGAATGTGGGTGTGACGGTGTTAGATCGGCAGCACTACATCAACCTCTGCATGGAACATCTCGGGGATGAAGCAGTGTACGAGCCGATCCTGCATGATCCAACGCCACAGGTCGTGAAGCAGCTGCAGTTTCTACAGACGACGTGGGGACCGGCTTTCTCCGACAGCCTTTGGAAGTATTTTTTCAAGGAACCGCCTTGAGGGTGGCGACCAACTGCTTTCTACGCACTGCCGAAGCTTCACAAGAAAGTTCCCGTGGGTCGACCGATCGCTGCCTCACACTCATGGGTGACTACTCCTGTGAGCAAATGGCTGGACGCAGAACTTCGCCCGCTGGTGCTCAACCGCCCAACCTACCTCCGGGACTCCCTCTTGCTGCTGACAACGCTGGAATGGGCTGCCTTTCCTACGACAGTTCTGCTCGTGACGTATGATGTCGCCGCGCTCTACCCCAGCATCTCGATTGAGCGCGGCCTTGATGCGGTCAACAGCTTTCTGATGAGGGAAAAACCACAGCTCGCCCCACCTCTTATAGCCATGCTGGGCTGGGTCATGAGGAATTCGTTCGTGGAATTCAACGGTTGGACCTATCATCAAGTGCGGGGAACAGCCATGGGGACACCTGTAGCTGTCTGCTTCGCGGTCCTGTTCATGAGCCGTCTGGACGAGCTTTTGAAGGAGAAGTGGACCGGGATATCTCCTCTTTACCATGCGCGCTACATCGACGACGGGTTAATCATTTGGCCAGGGACGCGGGTAGAATTGGAAGCCTACCTGCAAACCTTCAACGCGCTTGATCCTGACATTAGGATCACATGGTCAATCTCGGATCGCTCCATAGATTTCCTTGACGCTGATCTTTTCAAGGGGCCGCGTTTTAAGGAGCGGGGTACTTTAGATTTCGGCACGTACCAGAAGCCGATGAATAAGTATCTCTACCTTCCCTTCGCTTCCTTCCATCCACGGCACTGCAAGGAGTCTTTCATTCGCGCAGAGCTAAGACGTTACCTTCTTCGCTCAACCTCAGCGGCGACTTTCCTAGCAACGAAGCGGTCTTTCTTCCTCCGCCTTCGTGACCGTGGTTACCCGCCCGTGTTTCTGCACCCCATCTTCAAAAGTGTCATCTTCGCTCATCGTTCAGAACTTCTCGCCAACACCATCGCCAACCAAGCACTCCGCCTACAGACAACTCTCCCATCTCGTGGGCCCCTAGTCTTGAAGACTCAGTACACTCCTGTTACTGCACGTCTTGGGCTAGGGGTCCTTTTAAGTCGACTTAAAAATCGACTCATCACACGCGGGCTATATGTGGAGAGAATGTTTGTTGCGTGGAAAATTGGTTGTAACCTGCGGCGGTTACTGGTGCACGCGCGACTTCCGAAGTTGCCCCCTGGCGAAAATCTGAACCCAACCCTTCACGCTGACACTTTCGAGGAAGTTGAAGACGTGGCTGCCTGAAGTTTTCGAGGGTGGTCTGGATTGGTCCCCGTCATTTGGGTGACCTGGGTGTGGATAGCCTAGAGTTCGCTTTCTTAGAGGCCTTGCTTCTCTTTAGAGGCATTGCTTAGCCCTTTCTTTCTCATTGTTGGCACTGATGAAGGCCTGATCGGGTTTTTCCCCCGTGATAGGCCGAAACATGTTTGTCCCTGTTTTACTCTACTGCTAAGAATTTGGGTTCTGAGATCGTTTTGAGCACTTAGTTGTATACAGAGCGGAAATCTACTGCTGTTTTTTACTTTGCTTAAGCCTTCTGCACGCACGCAGCTCACTGAGCCATGTCCGGATCTTGCTTCACAGTGAAATCAGGAGGGCGATAAGGGAGAAAGGGAGGCCAATGGACCGGCGTGAAGATATGTGAAGGGGAATTGTAATTAGGAGGTGGAGGAGGAAGAGTTGGTGTGGGCTGGGAATGCGGAGGCTCTAGCAAAGGAGAGGTCGTGCTGCTGGGAATGTGGGTGGCTGCAGGGATGTTGGGGGCAGGTGGGATGTCAGACAGTGGAGGTACGTCAGAGGGAGGAGGCACGGTGTAGTGGGGGGGCATGTTGGAGGGGAGAAACACGCTGGGAGGAGGACTGAGTCGACCGTATGAGGAGTGTTGGAAAGGGGAGAACTGGAGCAAGGGGGTTGAATGGCGGAGGAGCGAGGCAGGCTGACGAGGGTGATGCGCTGGAAAGAGCTCAAGTCCGGTGAGCCTGATGGGTGGAGCCAATAACTCTTTGCACTCTCATCCTCGGGGGAACGTGACGGCTGGTTGCGGTAACTCCTTGCACTCTCACTTTCAGGGGAGCGTGATGGCTGGTGCTGCCAGTAACACTCGCTACTATTAGGGGAAATTGACAGTTGGTGCTGCCAGTGGTAACCCCTGGCACTATCAGGGGACAAGAGTGGCTTTGGGTTAATCTGACCCCTCCTGCGCTCCACGACTGGGGGTGGGGCCAACAATGTTTGCTGCTGGAGGAACCTTTCAATGCCCCTTGGGCTTTCCCCTGAAATTTCCTGCTCCTGCTTCTCTGCAGCAGCAGCAGCAGCAGCAGCACCACCACCACCACCACTGGTAGGGCCTGTGGATTGAGGCACGGAGGAGAGTGGCGCCTGTGCCAGGTGCTTCTGGACTCTCCCAATGCCCCTTGGGCTCTCCCCTGAAGCCTCTCGCTCCTGCTGCTGCCTCTTGGGCCCGTCACGAGTGCCAGCACCGATGGGTTGAGTGGATTGAGGCAAGGGGGAGAGTGGCGCCTGTGCCTGGCGCTGCTGGCTTGCTCTACTCTCTCCCAGCCCTGCTCCTGCCACCACCTGCCACTCTTTCTCTGCAGCAGCAACAGCACGAGTGCCAGCAGCAGCGGGGTGCGCAGATATAAGTAAAGGGGACAGCAGTGAAGACGCCGGGTACTGCTGGCTTGGTCCACACACACCTAGGATTTCCCCTGCCACCGACCCCTCCTGCTTCACTGTAGCAGCACGAGCACCGGGAATAGGCCCTGTGGAAAGCACGAGCCCCAAGGGGACCACACCCAGCCAGTCCTGTCTTTGGGGCGCCTCAAGAACAAGCTGCTGCTTCTCCCCATGAGCACTGGGAATAGGCCCTGCGGCAAGAACGAGCCCCAAGGGAACCGCACCCAGCCGGTCCTGCATTTGGGGCGCCTAAAAAGCAAGCTGCTGCGTCTCCACACTAGCACGAGCACCGGGAATAGTCTCTGTGCCACAGAGCCCCAAAGGATCGGCACCCAACCGCTCCCCCACCATGTCTGCAGTGTCCCTGAGGCGTTTCCGGGGGGATGGGACCTGCTGCTGCCATCTGTGAGAGGCGCTGTGTGTGCCAACTGCAGCGCCAACTGCAGCACCCGATTGCATAGCACTAGCATGCATGTCTCCTGCCCCTAGAACACCAGCTCCCAAGGATCCAATCCGCCAACCTCCACCACCAAAAGCTGCACCCCCCGAAGCTGCACCCCCCGAAGCTCCACCCCCCGAAGCTGCACCCCCCGAAGCTCCACCCCCCGAAGCTCCACCCCCTGAAGCTCCACCCCCCGAAGCTCCACCCCCCGAAGCTCCACCCCCCGAAGCTCCACCCCCCGAAGCTCCACCCCCCAAAGCTCCACCCCCCAAAGCTCCACCCCCCAAAGCTGCAGTCCCCAAAACTTGGTTCCGTGAAGCACCACCCACCAACGCCACACCTGCCAAAGCTCTACCCTGGAGGGATCTTCCTCCCGTGAGAGCATCTGGCCATTCGGTGCTGTCACTCCCCATCATGGCACTCCTGCCCCACATCAAGTTGCTCCGCATTCCACCGCTCCCCACACCACCACTTCTCGCAGCACCACTTTTCACAGCACTGCTTCCCACAGCACCGCTTCCCAAAGCATTGTTTACCGCATCAGCTAGAGTGTTGTTTGTCTCAGTGCCACTCCAACCTATCACAGAAGACCTAGCAGAAGGACCAGCCATGCCAGCACCAACACTCATACAATCCCCACCACCCACACCATCCCCACCACCCACACCATCCCCACCACCCACACCACCCATACCATCCCCACCAGTCATACCATCCCCACCACCCATACCATCCCCACCAGTCATACCATCCCCACCACCCATACCACCGAGCATTGTCAGAAGTCTTGCCTAGCAGTGATAGTATTTATGGAGCACACTAACCCACACTAACCCTGTACATTATAACGATTTTTAGTAAACTGGTGGCATATTGTTGTTGCTATTAAACACGTACCTCTTGTATATGAGAGTTCACATGTATAGCTGATGACCAAGCTGCATTGTTTGGTCCGAGGCATGAGATTTCGTCTCCACCGGCTGTTTGAGCTGTTGCCCATTGTTTCAGCTGTTTTCCAGGTGGTTTTCCAGGTGGTTCTTCAGGTGGTTCTTCAGGTGGTTCTTCAGGTATCACAGTTGAGATCTACGCCCCAAAGCAGCACCGACGAAGGGCGAGACTCGCTAAAATCTGATAGCCCGTAGTCTTGGAGTGAAAGCCCTTCCTTTGATGTGTCACGCACTCCAGCTTCCGCTTTTCTCCCCCCTGCTACTGCTGCTGAATCTGCTGCTGCACTTGCAGGTGCCTCTGTGGCTGGACCTGCCACTCCTGCTGCAGCTCCTGTGTACTTCCAATCTTCTTCTTTTTCTCCTACTGCTCCTGCTGCTTCTGCTGCCCTTGCGACTCCTGCAGGTGCTGCTGCTGGTAACCCTGCAATTTGGCTGCTGGCGCCAGCAACTGAAGCCTCAGACATAAGCAGCCCTACAGGACGAACCCCCCATTGGTTCTCCTCAGCCAACCTCGCTGGTATTTCATCTGTACTCGTTATAAGCCCATCGCGCAATGGTTCTTGCTTTACGGTGAAATTAGGAGGGCGATGAGGGGGAAAGGAAGGCCAATGGACCGGTGTGAAAATATGGGAAGAGGAATTGTAACGAGGAGGAGGACAAGCAGGTGGGGGCAGGGATTGCAGAGCCTCAGGACAAGGAGGAGAGCTCGTGCTGCTGGGTGCTGCTGCAATGTTGGGCGCAGGTGGAATGTCCGAGAGAGGTGGGATGTGATAGAGAGGAGGCATAATGGACCGGGGAGGCGTGGTGGAGGGGGGAGAACTGGAGGGAGGAGGATGAGTATGAATGACAGAGCGATGCGGGCTTACGAGGGTGATACGCTGGAAAGAGCTCAAGTCAGGCGAACACGAAGGTTGATGCTGGTAACTCTTTGCCCTCTCAGGTGAACAGGACGGCTGGTGCAGGTGGTGAGTGTTTGCATTCTCAGGGGAAAGCGATGGCTGGCTCTCCCAGCGGCGACTCGTCGCATGCCCAGGGTCAAGGGACAGCAGTGGCACTGGGTGGCAGTGACCTCCCCTCGCATGCCCAAGGGCTGACTGCTGGTGCTGGAGGAATCTATTAGTGTCTTGCAGGCTATCCCGTAAAGCTTCTCGCTCCTGCTTCTCTGCAGCAGCAGCAGCAGCAGCAGCAGGAGTGCCACGACTGGCAGGGACTGCGGATAGAAGCCAGGGGGGCAGCTGTGCTGGTGGCTGTTGCTGCTGGCTCGGTCCATTCTCTCCCAGCCCTCCTGCCAAGGCCCACCCCTGCTGCTCTGCAGCACCGGCCTCACGAGAAGTGCAAGGAATCTCCGCGGCACGAAGCCCAAAGGGAACCTCAACCAGCCCGTCCTGCTTCTGGCGCACCTCGAAAACAGGCTCCTGCTTCCCTGCCCCAGCACGGGCACTGGGAATAGGCTCTGCAACACGAAGCCCCAAGGGAAGCGCACCTAGCTGGTCCTGTTGTTGAGGTACCTCGAAAACAGGCTCCTGTTGTTGAGGTACCTCGAAAACAGGCTCCTGTTGTTGAGGTACCTCGAAAACAGGCTCCTGTTGTTGAGGTACCTCGAAAACAGGCTCCTGTTGTTGAGGTGCCTCACGAAGAAGCTGCTGCTTCTCTGCACCAGCACGGGCACTGGGAATAGGCTCTGCAGCACGAAGCCCCAAGCGGGCCTCACCCAGCCAGTCCTCCACCATACCTGCAGCGTCTCTGGGGCGTTTCCTTGGAGAAGGTATCTGCTGCCATGCACGAGCGGTGCTGCGTGCACCAACAGCAGCGCCAGCCTGCAATCCTGTCTGCACAGCGCCAGCCTGCAATCCTGTCTGCACAGCGCCAGCCTGCAATCCTGTCTGCACAGCGCCAGCCTGCAATCCTGTCTGCACCGCGCCAGCCGGCAGAGCACTGGATTGCACAGCTTCAGCACGCAAGTCTTTCCCCCCCATAGCCCCTGCTCCCACCAATCCACTCCGCAACGCTCCACTCTTCAAAACTCCACCCCCCCAAGCTCCACGCGAGAGTGCCCTACCCCCCATGACTGCATCTCCCCATTCGGTGCTGTCACTCCCCTTATTGGCACTCCTGTCCCAAATCAAGTTGCTCCTTATTCCACCGCTCCTCACTCCATCTCGTCGCACTCCATCACTTCCCACACCACCACTTCCCACACCACCGCTTCCCACAGCTCCGGTTGCCGCATTAGCTAGAGTGTTGTTCATCTCAGTGCCACTCCAACATATCACAGGAAACCTAGCGGAACGACCAGCCATGCCAGCACCAACACTCATACAAACCCCACCACCCATACCATCCCCTCCATCCATACCATCCCCACCATCCATACCATCCCCACCACCCAACCCATCCCCACCACCCATGCCATCCCCACCACCCATACCATGCATGCCAACACCACTCGTCGCAGCCACACAAGGCACGTCAGCACGGCCATCATTACACTCTCCTCCCCCCACACTCGCACGTCTCCTCAAGGCAAACCCCTGTGAATCATCATTGCCCATCTCTGTGGAATCACCCAGAGGTTGACCCATACGAGAACGCAAAAGGGGGTGCTTTACATGCTGCTGCTGCTGCTGCTGCTGCTCATGAGATGCAACATTAGAACCACCAGCCATGCCAGCACCAACACCCATACCACCCATACCACCCATAACATCCCCACCACCCATACCAACCATAACATCCCCACCACCCACACCACCCATACCACCCATACTACCCTCCCCACCCTCTCGCCTTCGATGGTGGAGGGTGCGACTGATGCAAGCCGTGCGATGAGTGATTCAGCATTTGGCATTGATAGTGGGAGTGTGGTGCGCGCGTTTGGTGCAAGCTGGGCGATGAGTGAGTCTGATAGTGGGAGTGTGGAAAGAGCGTTTTGAGAAATGCCAGCATTGACCGATGACACAGGTGCTTGTGTGGTGAGATTCCGAGGAGAAACGTAAGCAGAGCTGGTTGGGTCTTGTTGCCTGTCACCTGCAATTGCAGGGCTGGGAGCAGGAACGAGTGCTGGATCTCGCTTTACAGTCACATCCACTGCTGCTCCCGAATGTTCTTGTGCTGAGAGTTGTCCGCACTGGAAAGCTTCCTCACTGCCTCTGGGTTTAAAGGGTTTTGTGCTGACTACTGCCTGCCTCTCGCCTTCGCCTTCCAACCCTCCCCACCCTCTCCCAAACCTCTCCCCTCTCCTGCCTCTGGGTTCAGTGCTGACGACTGCTTGCCTCACCCCTCCCAACCCTTCCCACCCTGCCCCGAACCTCTCCCCTCCCACCGCTCCCCACCCTGTTCCAACCCTACCAACTCCTGCTTCTCCCACGTTCCCCGCGCCTCCCACTGCTCGTTCCTCAGCAGCTGTTATGTTTCCAAATGTGGTCTGCTGGCCTACCCTTCTAGCAGCAGCCGCCGCAGCAGCTGCAGCAGCCGCTACTAAAAGTGCTCCCTCTCCCCCTCCCCCTCCTCCTCCACCACCACCACCATCACCACCTCCTCTTCCTCCTCCTCTTCCTCCTCCTCCTCCTCCTCCTCCTCCTCCTCCTCTTCCTCCTCCTCCTCCTCCTCCTCCTCCTCCTCCTCCTCCTCCTCCTCCTCCTCCTCCTCCTCCTCCTCTGTCCGCTTTCCCTGCTGCCACTGCCGCCACTGCACCGGATGAAGCACCGGATGAAGCACCGGATGAAGCACCGGATGAAGCACCGGATGAAGCACCGGATGAAGCACCGGATGAAGCACCGGATGAAGCACCGGATGAAGCACCGGATGAAGCACCGGATGAAGCACCGGATGAAGCACCGGATGAAGCACCGGATGAAGCACCGGATGAAGCACCGGATGAAGCACCGGATGAAGCACCGGATGAAGCACCGGATGAAGCACCGGATGAAGCACCGGATGAAGCACCGGATGAAGCACCGGATGAAGCACCGGATGAAGCACCGGATGAAGCACCGGATGAAGCACCGGATGAAGCACCGGATGAAGCACCGGATGAAGCACCGGATGAAGCACCGGATGAAGCACCGGATGAAGAGCCAGGGCATCCTCTTTTCTCACCTTCTTACTACACAGGCCCTCACCAGCACCCGCCACTGCTGCTGCTCAAGGCACCTGATCAAGCACCAAGGCACGCTCTCCTCTCTGCTTCTTACTGCACCGCCCCTCATCAGCAGCTGGGGCAAACAAAGCAGCGTCAGCACCACCACCAGCGGTCCGCGTTCCCAACAGAGCAGTGTCAGTAGTGCCAATTGCGGCAGCAGTGACTGAAAGCGGAGCAGAGTGGATCGTACAATCCCTGCCTGAACGTGCAGCAGCGAGGGTCGTTTTACCAGTGCCGGAACGGGCAGCAGCACCAACAACACGAGCAGTAGCCGCAGGGGCAGAAGGAGCAGTAATATCAGCGGCAGCGTCAGCGGCATTGGCGGCATTAGCTGCCAGCACAGCAGACTCCGTGGCATGGGAGCATCGCCACTTGTCGCGCCGGTGTTGGTCGAGAGCCGCGGCAGTTGGGAAGCTTCGCTTACATAACGTGCAGTAGTGAGGGCCCTGGCCGTCTGAACGCAACCACTTAGCTAAAAGCCGGCTCATTTGAGGGGTCAGGGATGGGGACTGGGAGGAGGAGGGGGCGGAAGAGGAGGGGGGAAAGGGAGGTGGGGGAAGAGGAGGGACAGAGGGGAGAGGGGCGGATGTGGAGGAAAAAGGGGCGGAGGAGGAGGGGGAGAGGACGAGAGGGGCGGAGGGGGAGGGGGAAAGGGGGAGAGTGGCGGTGGTTGCAGCAGTGGTGGTAGCTGTAGTTGCAGCAGCGGAGGCAGCATTTCTAGCTACAGTTCCGCCGGCAGCTGGTGTGCCAATCTTTTTCCTTGCTGAGATTGCAGGAGTTCCAACCGCAGCGCGAGACAAGCTGCCTGCCGATCTTCTTGAGCCCGAGAAATCAGGTGCTGCCACGTGTCGTGCACGCTTCTGTGGGGACATCATTGCCGTGTCATCACCACCAGTGAGACTCTTAGTGCTGTGGACAGCGGCGCCCCTCGACTTTGGATTAACCTCCGTAGGCTTGGCCTGAGCCGGCTCACGCCCCCGAACCTGAGCGGAATCACACCCCCGAGCCTGAGCCAACTCAAGACCCCGAACCTGAGTCGATTCAAGCCCCCGAGCCTGAGCCAACTCAAGACCCCGAACCTGAGCCGATTCAAGCCCCCGAGCCTGAGCCAACGCAAACCCCGGAACGTGTGTGAACTTAGGACCCTTACCCTGGGTCATTTGAAATTCCCCAGCCTGCACTGAATTCTGAGAGCCTGCAAAGGCACGAGGGTAAGCAGACCGCAAGGCATCATGTATCGGGGACCTCCCTGCTTCCTTCACCACCGTTGTGATCCTCGAAATTCCTGCAGCAGCTGCAGCAGCAGCACTCGCAGCACCTGCAGGCACGGCAGGCTCAGGCAGGCCCATCAACAACCATCTTGCAGTATCCACAGCGTCTTGAAGAGCAACACCCGTAGGATGTTGCTCTCCTCTGTCTCTGGCAGCAGCCTGCGGCGGCGCAGCAACCCATCGGGAGCAAGCTTTACTTGGTAGGATCCCCGAAGCTGACGCTGACACAGCAGAAACAGCAGTATCCCTAACGCCATTGCCGCTGGTCGCAAGAGGGCCAGCAGCCGCGGCAGCATCGGCTGGGACGGCGCATGGGGTGATTTCAGACCGCTAGAAGCTTGGGGTTCTGCTGATGTTGCTCCGGTGGTATTCCACCAAGAATTCCCGCCGAGGCCCGTGCTTGGCGCTGGGGTGCTTGGCGTGGGGGTGCTTTGGAAAGCAGCACGGTTTGCGTTGAATGATGTGGGTGACTGGGGTGAGGGAATAGCCATGGCTCCGTGGAGTTCCCAGAGACAAACAGAAGCAGCAGGAGCAGCTGTGGCAGTCGCCGCCGCATCAGGAGAAGCAGCAGGATGTGCAGCAGCAGATTCTTTCGTTCCGGCACTGGCGGCAGCAGTGGTAGTAAGGTTCCGAGCAGCAGCACATGCAACCATGGAAGATTCCGCACGTGACATCCACTCTCCAAGGCGCAAAGCCTCCTCGAACGGACCACAAGAGAGCACCATGGGGTCATTTTTGTGGGCTTTTGCCCGTAATCCTGCTGCTGCTGCTGCTGCTGCTGCTGCTACGCCTGGCGCTGCCGCTCCTGCCGCTGCCGCTCCGTGATCCTGACCCTCAGGTCCGTTTCCCCCTTCGTCTTGACCGCCGATTTCAAGATTCAGGTCTAGAAAGGGTCTATCTTGCCTCATGAACGGCCCTGATTGCCCGTTACCTTCCTCCAGCTCCTCCTCCCCCTCCTCCCCCTTCCCCTCCCCCCCCCTCCCCTCCCTTCACCTTCCCAGACGAGCCGAACAAGGAGTAGAGGAGCCTTGAACCATCTCGTGACATGGCGTGCTTTACCGTGCGGTAGGTCTCTATATTCGCATCATCGAACGTTCCCATAAAGTGGTGATCCCGCGTCAGCCGCACATATTTAGGACACTTTTAGTAAATGCTCTTCATTTGGGAAAAAAAAAAAAAAAAAAGAGGAAGCAGAAAGAACGAAAGAAGGGAAAAACGTCGCCTCATATGTGAGAGCTTTACTCCTGTACGATAAGAAATAAAAGCTACTCTTTCTTGCTCATCAGATCCCTTGTCTGCAGTTATGGAGCCTTTACTATCAGACAACTCTCGTTTACGCATAGTAGTTGAGGCGTTTCATCGTGAAACAAATATGAGGTGCGATCTGTTAAGAGAGTCACCACAGTTGAAGCATGCAGAGAAACACAAGAGATAAAAGGAGAGAAAATAAGCTGTATGGTCCCAGAAGCTGCACAATATTACGACGAAACAGCTGTCACAGCAAAAGTGACGCCTTGCCGACTTCGTTTCGGAAAAGAATGATAGTTCTTTTGCTGTCAAAAGCTGCAGCTTATACTATGTCAACAGCTCCTTGGAAAGAACAATATCTACTGCCAATGGAGCTAGCCAAATGCACCGCTGACAGCAGACTATGTCAACAAGTGCTTGGAGAAAACATTACTGCCAACAGCAGCCAATGCACCGCTGAGCAACAAAGCTGACAGCAGAAAGCCAGACATGCCTGGTGTTGTAGGATTTGAGCAAACTCTGAGTGGATTTAGGCAGTGTAAGGAATCGACAGCCAGTGACGCGGGGATCCAGCTAAAAATCCTTACGAAACAACAATACAGGTGTAAGGGCGTATCCCTGGGTGGTGGCAGGGCCACTGTAGATGGCAGCCTGCCACGAACACATAAAACGCCAGGTTGGTGTCAGGAAATTTGGCGCGCGAATACAGGTGCGTGATTGGGCAATGCCCCAAAAATGTCACTTCAATGCCACCAAATACGAGTCGCGCGCGCCTCGGTAAAAATGTTGGTGGCATGCGGTTTTCCCGCATGCCACCAACTCTGCCATCTACAGTGGCCCTGCCACCACCCAGGGATACGCCCTAAGTTAGAATAATGTTACAGCTCTCAGTGCGGCGGACAGTGTCACACAATTTTTGTCACGCTTCTGTAGCTCCGGTGAGCTTGCTGCCAGCTCAGGCTCATTTGAGTCAACCCACAAAATACACAGGGCGTCTGCAGCAGCAGCACAACCGCCCACCGTGTCAGACTGGGGATCAAATCGTGTTTTGCAAAACGCCCAAGATAATGGACAGCAACTGCTGGCACGCCATAAAGAAGTGGCGTGGGGTACCTCTGGGATTACAGCCCGTACAGCACCGCACCAATGGGCTTGCGCCTTAGCACACCCGGAGCTTGTTGCTGGCTTGGATCACCTGTGGTGATCCTTCTCGGTTTGTGATGTGGGATGTGTACGACGGCGAAGCAAGTCTCCACTCATCGCGAAAAGGGGAAGTGCGAAAAGCAACTAAAAATACACTCTCCCGCAACTTTCCCGATATTTTCTGCCCGGCACTTTCAAGTCAAGGTTTTAGAACTGCATGGCGACAGTCACTTACAAAGCAACCTCCCAGTCACTCTTCCGTCTCTAACTGTACACATTGGGGCAACTGACCAAGTATACAGTAAAGCAACATTTTCGTCAACTTTGAGCAACCTGTGCGAAAGTGCCATGACGACGCCACGTGGTGTATGCCGTACTCTAGATGAAACTCAGACACGCTGACGTGACGATTATTGTACTCTACGACAACCGTCGGATTAGAATCTGGACCGACGCACGAGATACTGCGAAATAGACCAATCGTAGCCTGCGATTTGGTGTACAGTAACAAATAACGATTGGCTGGCGATTTCTAGATAAATCTTTGCGACGCATTTAAATGACCCAACATTAGCAGAAGTTCTACTATAATATTTGTTTCTCTTTACAGTATACTGAGTATTCACAACGCACACAAACTGTACACATTCTTTTATTCTACACCTACGCCTTACTTATCCTGCATTGCTAGGTTTCTACACCTGCATCTCTGAAAGAAGTAAAACTCATCAAGGTAAGAAAATGTCAACTGGAAAAACAGACATAGACTTGTTAACAGCAAACCAACATTGCGTTTCCAACACTCACCATTGGGGTTAGTAATAATGTAGAACGCTTCAATGTTGGAAAATATACATAATGCGATAAGCCTGCAATGACAGGTACACCCTGCAAAATACGCATGTGCAAAAGTCGAAACTTATACTCCTGCAAGAAAAAAAAGGTAAGCGATAACGTTCACATCTCTGAAACCTGCACACACAAGGCTGCTGTTAAGCACGTCTCTGAGCTTGCTACGGTAGGGTTAGTGATAACCAGTTCGTGATAGTCAGTTGCATCGCTCTAGCCACGGCAGTTAAGCATGGCGACAAGTGAGATGCTGCACACTGGTAGTCTCTAACATAATGAAAGATGTAGATGCAAACGTCAGAAGGTAACATGACTTGAGACTGCAAACATGAGATATGGCGAAACCTTGAAAAACGTATACATCACCGAACGTGTTGCTAAGCTTCAATATTTCGCGACGCGTTTCATCCGCGAACGTGTTGTAACTGGTCGACCTGGAAAGGGGAATGTTAGGGTAAATGGAAGGGAGAAAGTCCAGAATGAGTCAATGAAGTTTACTCTGCCGTGCACATGTTCACCACGGAAGGAGACGGAGAAATCGTCGGTAAATAAGTGGCATAATAGTGAGATTAACATGAGGACTTAGTTGTTAGGCGCAGGTACCAGGAGAGCGCTTCTGGTGGACGTTGAA